ATATTATTTAACAAATATAATAATCAAGCTATTATAATAAAGAAAGTATATTATTATAATTATTATGAATCTTGAACATAATTTAATACCCTTTGAATAGAAATCAGTATAGATAGTAGTATAGTATCTATACTTACAAACGAATCAAAACCTATGCAAACTGAAGATATAAATACAATTAATATAAAAAAAAATATTGAAAAACAACCTCGTTTCTTTACTAAAAATAAATAAAAATAAACTTGAACTTCATCAATTGTCGTCGAGTGAAGGTAATATAATAAGAAAATCCTTACTAAATAATACAAGTGTTTTAAATGTTCATTCATATGACGATCATTGTTATAGCGCTAAAAGAAAATTAATTTCTTAATACGATATTATAATTATTACAGTACACAAATATTGTTATAAAAATAATGTTATTATAATAACGTAACTATCCAACTAACATAATATTTTTACATTATAAATTATAATTAAAATAGTTAAATACATTAATAGTTAATAAATTTCATAATACACAATTCGAAAAAAAACACAATATTCTTTATTCACTTACGATCGTCATTTAAAAGATACAATTCAACAATATATTAATGAATTCATTTTCTTTTAGCGCTATAAGAATGATCGTCATATGAATGAACATTTAAAACACTTGTATTATTTAGTAAGGATTTTCTTATTATATTACCTTCACTCGACGACAATTGATGAAATTCAAGTTTATTTTTATTTATTTTTAGTAAAGAAACGAGGTTGTTTTTCAATATTTTTTTTTATGTTAATTGTATTTATATCTTCAGTTTGCATAGGTTTTGATTCGTTTGTAAGTATAGATACTATACTACCATCTATACTGATTTCTATTCAAAGGGTATTAAATTATGTTCAAGATTCATAATAATTATAATAATATACTTTCTTTATTATAATAGCTTGATTATTATATTTGTTAAATAATATTATTATTACCATACATAAAAAATAATTTTATTATAATATCTATAAAATAATATTATGTTAGTTGAATAGTTATGTTATTTTAATAACATTATTTTTTACATTTATACTGTATTCTCAATGAATTGTGTATTTTTAAATTGTAAATTACGATATTGTGTTTTTTAATAACTTATTAACTACTAATGTATTTAACTATTTTAATTATAATTAATATAATAAAATATAATATTATAATTTATAATTTATAATGAAAATGATGTTATCGGTTTATCAATGTTATCACATTTTGAAAACCGCAAAAAAGGGGTTAAATGTATGCAATATTATATACGGCCACAAAAAATTTTTTCCTGTGAAAATCCATTCGTGCAAAATCACGTCTTATCATATTTCCTAATCTTATTCTTATCTTTAATAACACTGTTCGTATCATCATTATCGTTAGTTGTCCGATTGACATGTCAGCAAAGCTAACGCAATGCACAGGCATAATTTTAAAAGTAACTTTTTAAAATTGTTTTCCAATACACGGTCTTGTGATCGATAGTATTCAATTTTAAATATCTACATTCAAGTAGAAACATACTATCATAACTAAGCATGTACGTGAATTAAAAATATTAAGCTCTCTCTCATTGTTAGAACAAAACAATTAACTAATCAATAAAGATGGAAAAGCAAACCGATGATCGATTTTTCAAGTCCAAGAACAAAAAACAGACAAAGAAAAAGAACAAGACTGAAAGTACTGATAATCAGGTTTGTTTACAATTATGATTTTTGTATAGCTATCTACTGAAATTATCAACACTGAATACAAATCTTTAAACATTATCGTGTTTGATGAAATCATGAAAATATAAACAATAGTATTCATGGTTGAAATATGCTTATAGTTTATAATTTTATATTATAGATGTAATGTACCTTACCTAGTACACATTTTGTATTATTCACTAACAATGTCACACATTCTGTTTATAATAAATACTGCTATAAAATTGTTTAATTCATGTACTTAAAAACATTGTATGAATACTTTATTTCTAGGAAAAAGAACCTGAGTGTGTTACTAAAGACTATGATTCCAACGAACAAAAATTATTCATAGAACCAAAACCTGATATATTTAACAATTTTAAAATAAGTATTGAAATCAATATACTGGCAGTGATACTTTTTATGTCAGCTCTGTCATCAAGATTTTTTAAACTTGATCAACCTCGTAATGTTGTGTAAGAGTATTTACCCATGCTATGTAAAAATACATTTATTTATTGCATATTTATATTTTTTGTAATATATTTATAAAAAATATAGGTTTGATGAGCTTCACCACGGAAAGTATGTTAGTTTATATATGAAGCAAACATTTTTCTTTGACACTCATCCACCTCTTGGGAAGCAACTAATAGCTGCTGTTGCATATATATGTAACTACAATGGTATGTAACATAGCACTCATTAATTATTGTTTACCATAAATAATACAATACTTCAGTGTAATATGAAAAGTCATTTCTATTTCATTAAATAAAACAAAATTATTTTAAGTTCAATAAAATACAAATTATTTATAATTTTTTATACTTATTTAAGTCTTATTCAATATTATTAATTAACGTGTTTAGGTCAATTTAAATTTGAAAGAATTGGAAGTGAATTTAGTGATGATGTCCCATTATTTGCTTTACGATTTGTACCAGCATTATGCGGTAGTTTGATTATTCCTGTTGCATATCAATTAATGTTGGAACTAGGATGTAGGCATTGGTGTGCCGCTCTTGGTGCATTTCTTCTTCTTTGTGGTAATATACTTTTTTCTATTATTTTTAATTTTTATTATAAACAATTTGTAAATGTCTCATTTTAGAAAACACATTATTAACTCAATCTCGATTCATCTTGATGGAGTCTATACTAATATTTTTTACATTATGTGGATTATTATTTGTGCTTAAGTATAAAAGACTGAACATGAAATCACCGTGGGCATTGACTTACTTAATAATTGCTTCAGTTTGTCTAACTATGGCCACATGGTAAATGAAATAGTTTCTATATTGTTACACATATAATATTATTTAAAATATATTATTTTTTTAGTGTTAAGTATGTTGGACTTCTCTCGTGGCTTTTGAGCATATGGATAATTTGTAGAGATTTCTGGGTTAACCATTTAGGTGACAAACGCCTATCAGATTTCACCGTTTTCTTATGTGTAATATTACGATGTATTATTACATTTGTGATATCCGTCGCCATTTATTTCTCTGTATTTTTTGTCCATCTCATAATTTTGAATAAAGCAGGTCCACATGACAGTGTTATGACAAGTGCCTTTCAAGCTAGCCTAGAAGTAGGTGTTTGATATTATTTATAATTAGTCTATTATTTTATTTGAGTAAACTAATTAATTTAGGGTGGACTAGCATCTATAACCAAAGGTCAACCTTTGTATGTTTCTCATGGATCACAAATAACATTACGGCATACACATGGAAGAACATGTTGGCTTCACTCGCATACTCATGTTTATCCTATCAAGTATGCTGATAAACGAGGAAGTTCTCATCAGCAACAAGTTACATGCTATACATTTAAGGTTACTTGTTTATATTATATTTAATATACATTTTTGTATAAATTGTTTTATTACTTTTTACTATTAGAAAATCAATCTCGTGTCATAATTTCATAGTTTTAAACTTTTCTATTAATTATTTTGTGCAGGATGTAAATAATTGGTGGATAGTTAAGAGACCAGAGAGAAATACATTAGCAGTAGAAAATACCAAAAACCCTGATGGTATAAAACATGGTGATATTATTCAGCTGGTACATGGAATGACAAGTCGGGCTTTAAATTCTCATGATGTTGCTGCACCTGTATCACCACAGAATCAAGTACATTTTTATTTAAATTAAGCTATTTATTTCCAGGTTGCATAAATAATCACTAAACATTTAATATATCAATGATTAGCAAGTTGTCCATTGCTTTTTAGTGAACTAATACATTTATTTGAAATTTTGCACATATTATGTACTTTAGCTAAAAATGTATTCAAAACAAGTTTCTATGTCTTATAATTGATTGTATTAATTATTTTAGGAAGTATCGTGTTACATTGATTACAATGTTTCTATGCCTGCTCAAAATCTATGGAAAGTAGAAATAATCAATCGTGATCAATTTGGAGATGTTTGGCAAGCTATTAATTCACAGGTACATTTATTAAAAAAAAAAAAAAGTAATATATTTTAATTTTATGCTCTTAAGGTAATACTAACTCATTTCAATTCAACACAAGCGTTGAAGTTTAGTGGTAGACAGTTACCAGATTGGGGATTTAATCAGCACGAAGTAGTTACAGATAAGATAATATCTCAAGATGATACAGTGTGGAATGTTGAAGAACATCGCTATACCAAAAGTATAAGAACTCTTAAAACTAATAATTTAAGATATACGGTGGCTTTGCCATGGAAGTATTGAGTGTATAACCCCCCTCCCCTCTAACCTTTCAATCTTAACCCCTCCTCCCCATCACAATTTCAATATCCTGGCTACACCCACAAAAGTATGTAATATTTTGCTATAACTAAAATCCGGCTATAGGTGAGAATGAAAAAGAAAGAGAACGTGAACTTGTTGCTGCTGAAATGATACCATCAAAAGGAACAAAATTGGGACTTTGGGAAAGATTTTGGGAATTACAATACAAAATTATATTTTCTTCGCCAAACACACAGAACGTTCATTCACATATGTATAGCAGTGAACCCCTTGATTGGCCGTTAATGGTTAGAGGAGTGGCCTATTGGCTAAGTGAACATGATAATGTTGGTATATTTTATTTGATACATATTATTTAACATTATATTATGTATAATTATTTGTTTTAAACTACAACAGGGACAAATTCACCTATTGGGAAACATTGTTGTGTGGTATTCATCGACATTATGTCTATTGTTATATTTATCATTTTTTGCTTTTTATTTACTGCGTCAAAGAAGACAAATTTATGATTTATCCTTTGGTACGTAATTTAGCATTTTATAAATAGTGTTCATAATAACTATTGTTTTGATTATTTTCTAGATGAATGGGAACAATTCAAAACAATTGGAGAGGTATTAGTAGTTGGATATGGCTTACATTATATTCCATATTTCTTTATTGACCGCACATTATTTTTACATCACTATTTGCCTGCTCTTGTATTTAAGATATTATTGTGTGCTGCATTTATGCAACACCTAGCAAACATTGTAAAGTATGTAATCTCAAATAAATTTCTGAATCAATGTATTATAATTATATATTAATAACTATTTACAGAGCAAAATTGATTCCAAGATTTATTTTTCATTTAAGTCTATGCATATGGATTTTAAGCGTTATGTATGTATTTAAAAAGTTCATTGTCTTCAGTTATGGAACTACTCCTTTAACATCTAAAGATGTTTTTAAACTACGCTGGAAAGATACTTGGGACTTCATTATTCATAAGCCATAAGTGTTAATATTATTTTCATTATTCTTGTATGTTATTTAAATGGTAGTAGATTGACTATAACAACAGTCATTAAATATCTTTTTAATTATATTCTAGTATTTTTGACTGTTTGGAAATAGCATTATGTCACATCCACTATTATGTTCATTAGTTATTACAATTTTTTTTAAATTAATAATACATTTATTTTAAAACAACAAACAAAACCTGAATTAAATAAAAAGTTTATTATTAACTCTAGTATAAAAGTAGACACAGACTTATAATTGCCAATGTATGATTAGTTGTTTATCGAGTTTATCTACTAATAAGTTTATATTATGCTCTCTTATATTTATTCTTTTGATTCCAATTGGCGCAGTTTATTTTATTAACCACTGATCACATTAAGCAGAACTCGCTGTATATAATTTGAACAAAATTTTTATCTAATGTAAATAATAGTACTTTATATCAAAACAATGATTCTTAATGATTATTTCTTAAATCTAATATTATTCATAAACATTTTAATTTGTAATGAATAATAAATAAATTTGTTGAATATTCATGGTTCACAATTTATTTAAAAATACATTGTATCCATTAAAAATTTTCAACACAAACATAATGGATTGTGAATACTCCTCTTTTTCTTTTCTGTTGCTTATAATTTATACCATGGACAAAGATGCAATAAAATTGTTGTCATGCCAACACCTTTCATTCCATCACTCATATTTGAAATCTTTTATTATTACATAATAGGACCAGTAGACTAATTATACTTATTTCAAAATTATTGTCTAAATTTTATTTCATAGATTTCTACTGGGACTCGACAAATTTGATCTTGTTCCACTGATATTAGTATAAAATGTATTCATACTGCTTGTATTATAAAATATGTCTGCAGTTTTTGTACAAAATAGACTTTATATCGGAAAATACTGTAGAATTTTGATTGATTAGACAAATTTAATTTTGGTTCATTAACAAGTTTTATTTTAAGAGATGTACAATAATTGTTTTTTTAAACTAAAATATCCAATAATGACAAAACAGTATTTCTTATATTTGTATTTTTATTATTTCAAGATTTAATGGTTTTAAAATATTAACTTAAATTGTATTCATTTATTTTAAATAAAATGTATCTACAAGATCTGTCAAAAAATATTTTTTAAACAATCAATCATAAGAAAATTAAAGATTGAATAAAGTTATATTATTATTAAGTTTTTATTTATTTATTAAAAGTATATTATGATATATTTACATTTTTATTGAACAAAATTACACAGGGTATTATATGACATATTAGTATTATTGTTCTAATTTTAAGTATTTATAAATTATTAATTTAATATCAAGTTTCTTCTATAAATAATAGTCAAGTACACGCTGTTAATTATATTTCATATTATTGGTTACTACTTACTTAATTCGTTTATTAAAATGGAACCTATTAATTTATAAAACCTAAGTTAATTAATAGTATTACTATTAAATGTATATTTTATTTTAGGGGGTTGGCCTACTAACCCCTTTCCTTTTACCTGTTGCATAATAAAGTTTAATAATTTCTATTTGCTATTACCAATCTTTTTCTATTTCTTTGAGAATGTTAGTGGTCTATTTAATGTTAGTCCCTAACTCCTTAGTATTTGAAAGTTGTCACCCATTCAAAATTATAATTATTTACATTAAGGATTGTCCTTAGGTTATGTCCCATGACTACCATGTGTACATATTTCATTTTCTCCTCATTTACTGTTAACCCAACTTAATATAATACATTTATTTCTAACTATTTAAGTGTTAAATAATATTTAAATTGTGTGTATTTGGCTGATTAATTTATATTGTTTCCTTATTGTGATAAGCTTTTTTGTAGTAGGTACATATCTTGGTAATATTAAGGTTATTATTAAATATTATTTTATATAATTTATTTTTTGTTATAGCCATATTTTTGTATCTCTATGAAAAATTGTTATTCCTTTTTTGCTGACATTTTTAATGTATACTTATATATATATAAGGATCTGAAAAATAAATATTTTTTTTCTTATGAAAATATATAATTTTAAATTGCTTATACTTTATAATTAATAACTTTATTTTAAAACGTTTTTTATTATTTGAGATTATAATAAATTCATGCTTGAAAAATAACTCAAATTGCTGTAAGTAAATAGTAGGAATAAATTATTGAAGAGTGAGTGTGTCAAAGTTTAACAATATTGTTATAATTCCTTCAACACATATTTACTAATTCATCTTTGATTCAAAAGTGTGTAAGGTATTTGCCTTGATTTATTTTTTTAATACTACTTTAGGTAAAATAATAATATTATATAAACATTATTAATACTTTTAGATTTAAAATAAATAAATCCAAGTGAAATTCTGGAACTTATAACACCATTTAGAAACCACAAATTTAGAGCGGCTTTCGTGTTCGCCAAATAATGAAAAAAAAATTGTATTATAAATCGTCAAATAAGGAAAATGTGAATAATATTAAATATAATAATATAATGTGTTTATACCTTACCTATTGCCTCACTTTCCACATCGTTAGATTGATGTCCCCGTAGTTAATAAAAAAATATTGAAAAAAAAAGTAGAACCATTTAAATGATTAAAAATTGTATAACGATTCATCATTTTGAATCATTATACTTGTTATATTTGTTAGATGTTTTTAGTCATTTTAATGAATCAAATTGTTCTTTAAACATTTGTTTGTAGCTTAATAAGCTATAGGTAATGGTAAAAATATATGAAGGTTATAATGTAAGTTACTTACAAAAACTACCACCATTATTGGAAGATTCCTAATCAGTTACTTTTTAAATTCTGTCCATCGACTATTTATTAACATATTATTTTATAATCGACGTGCAGATCTGTGTAGTTGTGCTGTGCTTGCTTATTACTTTTATTTTAATTAGCTTCAATATCATTCATTAATTATGCTTACATAATTTGTTCATAATGTCAATATGCAATAGCTGTTACTGTTATTCCATTCTTACAACAAGATCCCACTATCCCAGTCTATGTATTGCATGCCAAATGCCGCAAATGTACAAACGAAGACATTGCATTTTATAACGATGGAGGCATATACCTACTGGAGATGCACCAAGTGTTCTGCAGTTCTGCACTTCTGCAAGAAAAAGAGCTTCACTAAAACTGGATAGCAAAATTATTGATAATAATACAAATCTAACCGTTATAAAGAACTTAGGACCTTATATTACAACTGAAAGAAAGTTTTAAAATATTTAAAAACGAAACCGGAACAACTTCGATCTTATAAGCAACAAGGTTAATATGATGGCTAAAATCATAATTATAGCTGATCACTAGAGCAGACGATTTGTAGCGTTTGTATATTTGTTTTGCACCTTCACAAAAATAGCATAGTAAGAAACAAATTGGTTTCATGCTGAAACAAAGTTAGTTTTAAAATTTTATTTTGCATATAAATGCATATTTCGAGTTTTTTGGTTTTAGTGCATATTTCTTCGATTCTATACGTTAAGATGCATATTTTCAATAATTTATCATTTTATAAATATTTTTAAAGTTTTTATTTAATTTAAATATTTAATATAATATATCTTTTCCTGAAATTTAAGGCGACTAAATTGGAACGGTAAATCCGATAGTATCAGAGGAATATGGGGAATCAATAATTCTTCTCCGGTATCATCCAGTGAGTAATGTGCACTCTATTACGCAAGTTTTTAGTGATTTTACTAGCAAATGCGTGCTATTGCAAAGTTTAGGCGGATTCAGGTTTCTTATAAAATAAAAGGACAACCTACTTTTAACACCATTTTAGGAGAAGCGGGTTCAAAGCATTAAGAAATTCTGTAGGAAAATGAACAGCTTCTTCCAAGTCGAGAACATTATCAACCGAGTAGTATATATATTTGAGTCGACGCATCAATCTTTGAAAGACTCAAGTTATTTAAATAACTTGTTCGTTAGTTGGCAACAGAATCCCTCTTTCTTTAAACCAAGATAAAGTCTTACAACTTATGTTATCAATGTCGGGACAGACATTGTTGACTAACTCTTGGATGTTGTCTATCAAAACACAAAGGTTTTTTAGTTTAATCCTTCCATTTCTTAGTATAAACTCTCAATTGCCAACTTTTAGTAATATCTCTGAAAAAAACCTATTCTCAAGTGAAGACAATGAAACCTTCATGTTAGTTTTAAGCTCTAATTTATTGACGTGTGGAAAAAAGTTGCATCTTTTTAGGGAAGCATTTATATCGTCATCACGTGTTCCTCCACTTCCTCGAGTCACAACTGGTAGAATTTGACGAAAGTCTCATGTGATCATCATTGCCCATCCACCCAAGTTCTGTGCAAATAGTGCATTGTCTTATCCAGTGCTTCCACAGACGTCTTTTTTGATATTGTGGCTTCGCCCCAGAGTATTAATGAGCAGTCAAGCATCAATTTTCCTGTATTGCTCTATTTAGAAACACTATAAATACTGTTATTATCATAGTTGGCAATTTTCAGTGAGAGTTTAAATGTAGAATTTGAGGTTCGGCCTCCTTCTAAAAGGAAGTGTATCGGCAATGCCGAATGACGTGACAATAGGTACTGACAGCTAATGCAATTATTCCGGTAGATCTTACTTTTATTAAACGATAATTATATAGAGTTATAAATCAAGTTTCGTGAATTATTTTGGAAAAGTTAAATTTTTTTACGCCAATGAATACAAAATTTTTAATTTATTATTCCTGGTTTGTTATCAACAATTAATGAATCTAATACAAAATATCCAAATGTATCCGTTTTTACGTAAATTAGTAGATTACACTTTACTTACTAATAAAATTAGCTCAAATATCTCAAATTACTAATTACTAATAGTAAAATAAATTAAATCAATAGTAATAATATCACAAAATATACTCCATACACATTAGTCAAATAGTAAAATAATATACTACACTATTTTCCAAAAATTTAGAAAATAG